CATCAAGTGAAGTAAAAAACCCGTTGAGCTTAGTCGTTTACCTACTTCAGACGTTTCCGCAAATACTAAATACCAAAAACCTCAAAAATTAAGTGCCTATTCTCCTTGAGACGTTCTGATTCGGGTCTATGAATAAAATTGTGCCTCAATGTGATGTGGTTACCCTTTGTCACTTAAAAAGCTTCCGTTAATGAAGGTGCAACCTTTATGTGAAGGCCTCTGATCTGCGAGATACAGGGACGGAGATATTTATGCACTGAATTGGTGTTCTAAACTTAAGCTGGCATAACAATTCGAGTGTGTTGGTTTCCGAGAGATAGTTAGATCTAGAGCTCCACCTAGATTTCTTTTAACTAAGCACTCCAAAATTTAAAGCATACCGTGTTTATTTTCATCCTCGTATGTAGAATTAATGTGGGATCAGAGTGTATTAACATCAGGTTGGTTTCATAAAGCATGTACAGAGTTTACAGTAACTGCTTACAGCAGACTCAGCACGTCAGATCGTAGGTGGGGGTATGTGGCACGTGCAATATGAATGCTGAGTTTTCGCCAAGTAACATCATCCTCTTGATAGGTCTGAGGAAAACGTCAGCAAACCTAAAAAAATCTAGTCCTCAAACGGGTCAACAGACAAAGACGCGCAGTGAAGCAAATAAGAGAGGCCTCGACAACACTAGTATTGACGGAACATGCATCGACACTAGTGGTGATATGCTGAAGTTCAACACCATAACACCGAGGGTACTAGATTATTTTAGCAACCTTGGGTCACTCAGCACAGGATGCACTGGGTGCAACGGTGTCTCAATAAAGTATGTAGGCGATCAAACCCCCGTCAACAAAGTTAAAAAGGACAGGATGTCATCGTCTAAGAAGCTGAACATTCCAGGAATTATGGTGAAATGAAATAGTGATTTGGCCGTACAGTTTACCATGAGATTGTCCAACCGATCAGCAAAGAGCACAGAAATCCAAAACGCTCTTCATCCACCAGACAACAAGGTCCCCAACCTGAACGCACCCGAAAAACCGGGAAAAAATCACGGTCCACGATGATTCTTCCATAATTTTGACCCTTAAAGACAGTCCTGACTTTCCCCCAATCTTTAGGACAAAAGCAACAGAAATAATTGAGCGAGGATCTCGAAATTCCCGAAGTAGAGCCTTTGATGATTACACGGCTCTCTCAGGAAAAGGGCTCCAAACATCAGAATCATTGAAGACTACTTGATACAACGCATACTAACGCCGCCAAAGTAGAGGATGTATTACTAGCTAGTCATCACTGAAATCAGATGGGGATGTAAGAATACTGCCTGATATACCGTATTCTGTGCGTGATCTCGTCAGAAATATTCCCAAAGAATCCTGCGATAATTTTTCCCGCGGAAAAAATATTGTTATGCAAAGTGTACTAGAAAACACGGACTCTGACCACACAAACTCTGATATTCGGGAATGGGAATTCACTAAGCAATCCTTGAAGCTCAACAACATGTTGACTCAACAATTGGTGAGACTAGCTAAGAAGGACGGGGATTTTAGACTCCGGCTGATAAAGATTACTGACCTCCCCTTACATATGGCGGCTGCAACTTTCAAGACCTTTCATACTAACAGATGCCGGTTACCAACCGGAATCCACATGCATCCGAACAGGCCACACGATGCCAGGATCAAGCACGAAAGCAAATTGGGGCTGACTATTCCACTTGTGAACTGTCAAGACCATGAAAAAAACGTAGAAACGACAGGGGTTACTAACCCGAAAAAGCCAGTTTAGGTAGGTTATGTGTTCATTCAAACAAGACTCATATAGATAAACAGGACAAAGAAGCTCAAGCGTCTCAAATTGAAAGCATAAACTGCTTATACATGAACGCCGCGAGTTTACCGAATAAAATGGATGAACTGCGTGAACTCAGTAATACCCATAACACTCATCTGATAGAAATATCTGAAACATGGTTATCTTTTCAGTTTATGGACTGGGAGCTGGCAATACTTGGGATGTCTTTGTTTTGCAACGACGGGAAAAGAGGAATGGAGAGTGGAGTAGCCTTGTGCATGCAATCTTCCTTGAAAGTACATAAAGTGCACAACCAATCAATTTTGATGAATCCGTATGGCGCTCAATATGATTGACTACTAACTCGAGGTGTCTACTTGGAGACATTTGCAGGAAGCTCACTGCTGACATGGAGTACGACAGTGCTAGAAGGATTATCCTCGTCTCGGTTCACTCGCATCCTGATTCTAGGGACCTTCAGTCTTCCTAAAGTCAATTTCGTGTAACATGCGTATATTGGAGGTAAAACCTACTGAAGCTCGGTTTGTCAACCTCATTGAAGATCTGGGACTATTCGAAAACTTCAAGTCGGTAACTCGTTGGGGAAACAGCCAGATGCCGTCATGCTTAGACAAACGGAGAATTCTTAAGTGACAACCTATCAATCTTGTCTCCCCTGGGGAAAAGCCATCATGCTGTTATAGGCTTCATTTTTATGTGCGAAACTGAGCTAAGACATCCTACCGGCAACTGATGTTGGAATTACAAACAGTTGGATGTGTCAGCTTTGCAAAACAATCTACAGCAGGTGGACGGGAAGTTCACATTCATTGGGTTTTCCTACTGCACCCGATCCTATGTGCCACTAGGCAGTCTGTTTCGCTAACGGTCCCCAAAACCTACAAGCAACCTACAGTCATCAATAACCACACGCTTCGTTCAATAACCTGCAAGAGGCAATTCTTTGTGGATTACAAACGAACTGATAACAACGGCGCATATAGGCAATTTAAACAAATGGGGAACATATGCATAACGGCAATAAGAGAAGACAGGCTTCATCACCAGATAGAGCTTATCTATAAATTCACCTCTAATTCCGAAAGCTTATTCCGTCATGCAACCTCTTTTCGACAAGCCAAAACTGTAGTTTTCCAATGATTAGGTCATAATGGCCCGACCAAAAACGACGGTGATGCGGCTAAACTTCTGGAAGAACAGTACTCTCGGACATTTCAACCAACCCACACAGACCTTACTGATGAACGCTTCATCTACAGCTATATAGGAAGTGAACCTGACCGCTGAAGTAATGTACCGGAAACTGTAGCACCTAAAAAGGACAATTCTCGTGGTCCTGATACAGTTCATTCTGCTATACTGAGGAAAGAAGCCTCGAACTTGGCGACACCGTTTAGTGTGATGTTCTCACATTCGCGAAGCTGAGGCATATTATCAGAAAATTGAAACCTGGCTCACACAACACCAATATTCAAAGGAGGTCGACGCAGAGAACCTTCAAGCCACCGGCCGGTAGCACTTTTCTCTATACACTCAAAAATTATGGAGCCTCTGATATACAAAGGTCTACAGGACTACTTACTATCTATAAATAACTTTTCAGCTCTACAGCATAGTCTCGAAAAAGGTGACTCTTGTATACGCAACCTGCTGACTGTGGTGAACAGATGAATAACTATCCTTGATGGCAAGGCGAAGGTCAATGTTATAAACCTTGGCTTCTCAAAAGCTTTTGATAGGGTCAACCATATATGTCGTATCAGTACGCCAGAATGATTAGGTATCAAATCACCTTCGATCGACATTTAAGGATCAAGGTTTAATTCAGTTTCTCTCTGGCTATGGAATTTCATGGTGGGGTCCCTTGGGGTTTAGTACTAGGACTTTTTTACTTGATTCATATAAACGGTCTTCCACAACATGTATTGTGGGATTTTCTAATTTTCGCTGATGAGGTAAAACGCCGGAGAGAAGTTTGCGACGAAGAGGATCTGACTGGTCTACAAAGTTGTTCAGATAACAGCGGATCTAAATTTAACATTTCAAAATGTAGAGTAGTTCACTTGAGACATTTTGCAGATTACAACTACTACTTCGGTAGCTTCCCTCTAGAGGTATCCCAAGTTGAAAAAGCTCTAGGAGTGTTGGTTGCCCACGTTAACCGTGGCGAAAATACCTTTAGAGCAAACCTTGCAATGGCAACATTGAAGCGCGTTTTTGACCAGTTTGATGGAAGAACTTTTCATACTATCTTCAAAAGTTTTATTCGTCCCTATTTAGAGTACCGAAACAGTATTCCCCCCACTCCAAAAGATTATGAACAATCTAGAACGTATCCATTGACGAGCCACAAAATCAATTCGGGAACTCAAATTCGACCCCTATGAAGAGTGCCTGAGAGATGACCCTATGATAGCGTACAGCATCACAAATACTTATGAACATTCCCTTAAACACCTACTTAAACTTATTTCCATCACAAACCTAAAAGAAAACACAAGAAAACTGGAAACAAAGTACAGCCGAACGGACTGAAGACACACCTTCTACTCCCTAGAAGCAGTCAAATGATGGAATTTACTGCTGGGTGAGCTGGTTCAAGTGACTTCCCAGGAGTCTTTTAAGAGAAAACTTGACATATTCCTAAGGTCTATGGATGGCATCCTAATATAATTTGCCAACTTTGTTTCCTCTTTTGACGATAAAATGCCCAGGTTCCTGCGCGAAGTTATAAGTGATTCAATGTTATTAGATACGGAATCCCACTAGGCGAAAGTTTCTTGTATCCCGTCAAAAACCATTTGAATCACTTAAACGTTAAGACAGATTCAGATTAGTGTAGTAAGGACAGAAGGCCTACGGCCTATGTTATTCCTTTTTTAGTGTGCTTCTGTGACTGTCTAGTCTTCACTTGAATGCGCCAATTGAATGTGCGGACACCACTACCTCTGGTAACAGGTTCCAAGAATTGATGACTTGGTGTGAAAACCTATATGTCACGGGTGTTTTGTTCGCTTTGGCTTTTCTACTCACCAATACTTTTTGTTAGAAAAACGCACGTACTTATTATTAAACTCAAGGTTGATTCTTTTAAGTTCTTGAGAAACTCCCTCGAGTTTGAGAACTCTCACTTATTATCCAGACATAGATCTCATTGGACAAATAGCTTTCTCTTTCAGCCCGTCAAGTTCGGTTTACTGACAGCGGGTGTTTTGACGTCGCGTGCGTTCTTGCTAAATGGACGTTGTTCGTAAATTAGCCAAGGCTCTAGCCTCTAATCAAGATAAAGTGAGACGAAAGGCACAGAAGCAAGTAAAAGTAATCCTTTCAAAGAAATCATTCAATGGGAAAGGTTAGATTTGTTCATTTTATCACTATATTGTTCAATAAAGTGCCAAATGATTATAGACTTAAGTAATATTTATGAACTTTGTCATGACATTACAGAAATGTCAGTAAAGACAATAGACAAAATTATGCGTGTCATCGAGTCACTCATTTAATCTGCCGAAGTCCACTTTCCTGATTTATCTAGTCCTTATGGTTAATTAACCATCTTACTAGATCCTTATAAGGACTTATGCCGATCTTCGAAGATATTCAGCATCCTGAATATCTTTAATATTTATATATTTTGTGTTACTCCCCATGTCTTAGCACTGTCAGTTTATGATAAAACCATTACAGTTTCAGGATATATATATATATATATATATATATATATATATATATATATATATATATATATATATATATATATATATATATAAAGTTGTTGCTTTACGACTGGTCTACGTCAACACCTGAACTAGGGATAGGGAGTGAAGTAGTTGGACGCATCGACAACACTTATTTTGAACGTCTGATCAGCCCTAATGGGTTGGTGTCTGACGAAATCTCAGCAGGGATTCGAAAGGCTCGTTTGGCTTTGCTAACTTACATCACCTATGACGAAGGCGAGATATCCGTTTGTCAATAAGGGGACGAGTATACTGCTCAGCAGTTCGTTCTCTTCTGCTTTACGGCTACGAAATTTGGCTATTAAGAGTAGAAGGTACTCATAAGTTACTAATATTTGTTGTGAATATTCGACTGAAATGGTAGGGTCACTTATTATCATGCCCAACTACCGATTACCACGGTATCCAATGCTGACTAGTGTTAAAGACGGATGGAAAAGTCAAACCAAGAAGTGGCATCTGTACTTGAATTCACTAACTTCTGGTCTAAGCCATGTTGATAGATTCAGACTACTTGTTTGGGGTCAGCACGACTATCGTAACCAATGGTTAGAGACTCTGGGTGACATGGCTCAGAATCGGTCACATTTGCGTAGGTGTATACACTCTTTGTCGTTCCTTAAACTGTGAGACCAAAATTACTTTATACCTTTCTCTCTACGAATTAATTATTTCTCCCTGTATCATATCCTTATATGCAATCTTTCTTTTATATGTTACTACCATTAAAGTAACTACTTCTATGAATTCGGTGTTTATCTTGTTGTGCTAATGAGGTGTGGCAACTTGGAACGATGCATATATGTGCCTGATCTTACGTTGTAGATGACTGACTAACTGAACTTTTGATAAGTTCAATGCTTAGCATTCTACCTCTCAGCCTCCATAAGTGACTTGATTCAGGCAATCTAGATCCTGCCGAAAACGGTAGTGCAATCATCAGTCAAATTGCCAATACGAGTAGAAAACATCTTGTAGGAAAGTTCGTGGTTCATCTGCAGTCAACGTACAAATGATTCAAGAAACTTGCTAGTTTTCATACACCCTCTGGTCAGATTCTACTAAAAAAAATCAAAGTTTGGCTTTACAATCAAGATTCCATTATTTTTTCTTACTTTACAGTTCTTGGCATTTTCTCACTGTTTTAATGTACCAGCATGTATAGATACACACTCGTACCACACTGTGCTTAAATGTCGATTTAATCAGTCATATATACCTAACGAGCATAAAGTTGGCGAGTTGGTTCAAATTCGTATTGATTGAAACTTTGCCCAGTTATCTGGAGATGTTATAGCAGTGGCTTGCGATGGAAAGTTTCTGATAGGGTTCATCGACAGGCGGTCGTGTTTGGAGACGAATAATCAATATTAATCTATGTTTTCCGTAGTTTAGTTCCACTGTTATACAGCAGTGTCCTCGAAACTTAATAGCTGGGTTTTTCAATTTTAATTTGACGAGTAAACTTCCTATCCAAAAATAGTCAGAAGTTTTGGTTGGTCAAAAAACAATAAAACTATAAGGATCCCATAATAATCTAACCAAAATTTGGGTTCAATTGTGTCATAGCAGGATGAGTATTAGAAAAGTTGAACTTTCGGAACTGTTCTAACTTAAGTTATTTATATTTTTGTTATTCATTAAGTACTTAAATTATTGTGTTCCTATATTCTCCCATCTCTAGGCCTTCGTTTGATCCATAAATCGTTGTGATACCCTATCATTCCAGACATTATTAATTGACTACTTGCTTATTACTCTGGTCCTGGATCATTTATGATCAAGTTATATACACATTAAAAGTTTTTCTGCTTATGTTGCTGTGTTATCAAGACATTTCACTTTCAAACCCTAATGTTTCCGATTAGTGCTTATACTCTTACCACCTCTACCGCCACGGGATTTGAATCGAAAACTGCATCTCTGTGCTAATGTGGTGTGGCAACTCGAACTGATGTACGTATGTACGAAGTTCTACGTTGTTACTGACTGACATTATTTTGTGGTTTTAAGTCAAAATAAAGTTGAGTGCAGTAGAAGACTGATCTGCCTTCTACTTTCGTCTTTTTGATTAGCCAGTCAGTCAGAAGGAGCCTGAGGGACCAATAAGGGTCGACATCTTAGTTATTGTTCATTAGTCGATGTGTCAATCGGTAAATAGTTCACTAGTCCTACTGGCAACGCAAACGAACTAATCGATAATTGGGTTAGAAACAGGCCATTGCAACTGCTCCCCTGTCATTACGAACTGACCATACAAAACCCAATGTAATTCAACCCAAAAAGCTAACATACTGTTTTCTTCCTACCTAAATTAACTGAATTTTGGGTAATCTATATTGTGTACTCGATGGTTCCGGCTGTTGTTGCTACCAAATAACTAATTCATACAACAGTTTGCCATTGACTTTGGTAGTTGCAACGGGATAGGCTTTCTTTGGTATGTTTTTTAATTTCTTCCCCCAAACTGTGATGACCAGAGTCGAGATGTTATCATATATTGTGATTTAGACGTAAAAGTTGGGCCGCAGAATATGTAGTTAAGGGAAGGAATAGTTCCTTAAGGTTTTATTTTCAGGAAAAATTAAGTATAGTAACTATTCAGAACCTGACGACTTAGTATTTCTCAAATATTGTAATACCTAAAATTATTTATGAGAACGCCAAACTTATATAGTTTACCCTTTGTCACGACTGATTGTATGTTATTAGATATATTAATTGTTTTGATACTATTGGTTGTGAAGCTTTGAAAATGGACTTGTTCTTATGTATTACACTTACATAAATCTGTATTATTTTTTTAAAACCATTGTCTTCGTTTGATTGACCATTACAGATGATTGGACTTACGAACAGTTGCTAGGCATTTGCAAAGGTCTTCACTACAGTTTATGGATGCAGGATAAGTTGCTGCTGAAGGTACTTACATTCAATTTATATTTTTTACTCGAAGGAACAAACGGTCGTCCGGTTATGTAACATATTACCCAATATTGAGGACAACACGGTCACATTGTATTATTCTTATGCCATGTTTGAAACACTAGCAAGAGAATGGGATAACTTAGATTACTGGAGGGTAGACAAATTTATGCTAGTAAGTTGAAATACAGTTCATTCATTGTTATCTAGCTCGGACGAGAATTTTTTACGAGAGGCCTTCAGTTTATTTCCTGCAAAAAACCTGAAATTTTACCTTCATTTGTGGAGGCCATTTTCACCAAGATATTGAACAATGACATAAATCATGCTGTTGGTCTAAAAATTCATTTCTGTACTCTAATAGGTGAAGAACTTCCGAAAAAGGTATGTATCTTTAAGTTTTTAACTATAGGGAAATGGCAGAACGTAAAAATGTTATCTGTGCAGTTAGTCTTTCAATATCTCCTGGTTTTACTAGCTTCCCTACCGAAGTGAGATCGTTTGAATGATTTTTATTGTTATTTAGACACAACATTTACGCTCACAATGTCCTATCTCTGATTACTCGGATAACAAAACTTATTCGAAGACGTCCACAAGTATGCTTGGTTCCCTTATTTTTACACATAATTTTAATTCAGTGTTGTCTAGATCGTATTATGAAATGTCTTGAGAATATTTTAAGCAAAGATTCCTCGTATAGAAACGCTCTAAAACGAGTTGACACAAAGTAATTTAACTGCCTGATTATCTAGTGGTTTTCTTTAGTCTAAAAAGAATTCTGGCAAATAGAGAAACTACATCAGTGGTAACCGATGGACAGATTCCCACGATATGTACAGAGTCTTCACCTGAGGTAAGAATGTTACACTATGTTTACTCCGCACAGACGACAAATATCGTCCCCAATACTTGTGAGAATATAAATAGTGAAGGTGGTTCATCAGAGCTTAAGGTGAGTATTCCTGATAAATTTGACTTGTTTCAGATCGTAAAGAAAAAAATTCCGAAGGTTTTAAAGAAGAAAAAACGGGTGATTAAAAAACGTTCATATGCTGAAGCTGCTAATGTAAATCGTTACTTACTTTCCAACTACTTTTAGTCCGTAAATGTAGAGTTCAGCAATCAAGCTGATGATTTTGTCGAAGAATCACGTCCGAAGAGAATGAAATCTGAAATACCTACAAAGGTAACTTATGTAATTACGTCTAATTGTAGTCTGTTGACGAATGCACAGCAGTTCCATGTGTAGTTCCTGATTCTCCATGCCCTTTTTCAGCATGTGATGAATCCAAACCAAACGTCGGTCAATTTATATCTCCTAATGTTTCAATAAGTGTCAACTCTGCTTCTGAAGAAAAGTGTACTTCAAACACTCCGCTTTCTTCTGAAAGACGTGTATCCTTTGGTAAGGTATTTCGTAAGAGTAGGTTTACTGCACAGTTTTCCATAATCTAAATTTTAGAATTTAACTCAACTCGTTGCATCTCCCTAACCCCACCGGTTAGGGTTATTCCAGCCAAGGGAATTTTAAGAAGTAACAGTAAGTAGTATGCTTTTCTTATCTTTTCTGCAGAATCTATAGCTGATGAAGCAAAAGCTAACGTTTCGTTCTAATTGAAGTTGTAATTTTGTACATATAAATGAAATAAACACAATATTTATGTATCAGTCTCTTTGGAAATTACATGTTAGGTAACAGAAAAAATTTTTACGCCAATCTTAGTTCTCTGCGAATAGAAATTATCTGATTAAATGAATTTTCACTCATAAAAATGAATCTATGCGTTTAAAGTGGCTAACTAAATATTATTCTCTATCGATACATAAATTAATTCGGTATGTATCGTTGTTGCGAGACCGTTTTTTAAATTCTTTAGAGCGACAACGGAAAACTTTAGATGCTATTTTCCTCTTTGGTAGAATGGTGATTTTATCTAGCGTCTGTATCTTCTGTAACATGGATACCATAAAGAAGTTGTATGTTAGTCGGTATCTAAAATGAAGACATCAGTTCTGTGAATCTACACAGTTCGCAACCGAAATACTTGTGTTTGAGCAGACTCGTTGGTTAAGGGTCGAGAAAAGAAGGAAGCATCAACAGGTTATACGCTGAAAGATTCTGATTTTCGCGTTGTGATATGTTTGGGGCCAATACCTCCTACGGCGCCCACAAATGCACTGATACGGCCGAGGGTAGGGAGAGTCCGCTCTCTCGAAATGCTCTCACATGGCCGCGCGTATACGGCCACTGAAAGGGAAGTCCTTGTGGAGGGACTGTTGTTCACGAAGTTGAAAGGACGAAAAGAGAATATCCGGCGCTTAAACCGGGTTGGTGGATATGGGGAATCCACCTACGGGAGTTGGAAAACCCTGATTCCAAACCAATGGCTTCAGGATCCTAAGGGAACAAATGGCGTATAAACTAATTATTGGTCACCGGCTACCATGGAACTGCATCTCCCAATGTTTCTCTACTGCCTTGCGGATTAAACTTTTAGGTTGAAGGCTCCGAGTGTGGCTAAGAAAACCACCTGCTTCGGTGTGGGCAGTATCACACCCACACACAATCAAGTGGCTTGTGTGGCGCATATGTATTCTGCGCCTCTTTGTGCTATTATTTGTGTTCAAATAAATACCTACGGCTGATTCGGTATGGAAAGCTAACTCCCGACTAATGGGTGGTGTTATACACCCGTAGTTTTTTAACAGCAGGCTCTTTTATCCTAAATCGAAGTAAAAGCCTCAGTAATTTGAGCTACACAAGCAATCTACTCAGATCATGCTACTGAATGACATTTAGGAAAGGAGTGTATTCCCTACATGTGAAGACGGTACGTGGAATAAACAGTCGATTTTATTACTCTACGAGGCATCCAAATAATCAACTGTATTTAAGGAGGCGTATGGTCAGTTAAAGTACAACGCTTTACGGTAAATCTTCATAGTTCATCTCATTAATTTACCTTTTAATTAAGACCAACCCTATTTACCCAAAGGAATTAAAAGAGCAACGAACTTTCAAAATAGATTTTATACATGATAGGCTGTTTATTGTGCAAACTAAAAATATTGGTGTGACAGTACAAAATGTCTTTATACTGTAGTTGCAGAAGTGAGGCTATACAATTTACATACTGACCAATTAACATCAGGAAAGCTTAATCACAATGCAAAGATATTCAGGTTTATGTTCTTTAGTAATCAAGATTCAAAAACAAATCCACGGCCTGCGAGGTCTTTTTTTGCTTCACTGACTAGCTTCATAAGCTCCGTGGACGCCTCTGGACAATCATTAAAACTGTATGTACGATAAAGTATAATCAAAACTGAGACTGTTCCAAAAATGAATAATAGGTGAAAAGGCAACCAGTTGAGTATCATGTTGCCGCAGTCAGACTGTACAGTGATAATTCCCATTAATTTAGACACCCATATTGCGGAAATCAAAGATAAAACAAGAAGCCATTCTACTATTTTCTTCATGGTGAACGTGGACAATAAAATCAACTCCTTAGTTACGATAGAGACGAGGCCTTGGGGAATTTTTTCAGTTGATTGACGAGTAGGCAACTTTCGTAGTAACTGAAAAATAGGAGGAATGATGAGTCAATGAAAAGCTTTATATTTCAAAGTCAGTAGTTCAGCAATTGCTTTTGCGAGAAGTCTGACTGGTCGCGCCGTGTTGGCAGCCGAAGGAACTTCAGAACAAATACAAGGTAAAACCCGGCATAATGGACACTCAGTAGCTTATCTTAAATAAATCCGAAAATTATGGGAAGAAGCAACTCGACTATAACTTTTGACATGAAAACAAAGGCAACGAAGCTAGCAGTGGACATTCACGAACAAATTGGTGGAAGTATAGTTGGGGATGAGGTGGTTCGCTGGAAATAAGAGACTGTAACGATGGGGCAGAACCTTTTGCGGCTTTGAGTCTTATTATTGTATGTTGCTCCTGTGCAAAAGAAAAATGTGGCAATTTTATCCTCATTTTTATTTACGTGCTATCTGGTGATTGCAGTGACTAACAAGTCTAACGCACTCGTCGGGTTTGATCAGCAGCAACATACTACCTTAACCATTTAAACTAATTTGAATGTCAAATTTACTAGGGTTACTACTCATGAATCCAAAACTTTACAATTGTAAATCAAAATACTAACGATTTCTACAAGTGGCGACAGTTGATTGACGAGGATATATAATCAGTCAGTCAAAAGAAATGTAGAACCTAACACATGCGTATACCAGTGTATGCTGCTATCCTCAAAGGTGAGATGAATTTGTAAGGGCAAATTCCAGAATAGTTGCAGTGAAGACAGTTGTGGTAATGAGAAAGATTAGGGATCCATGATACAATTTAAAAAATGTAGATTAACGAGAATTCCATCAACTTAAAGGGGAGATAATCTTAGTACACACGCGTCATTGTAAACGATTCTGAGCTATGGCAGCCCTAAGCATCTGTTACGATGACCATGCAGACTCTCAGCTGGTAGTCCGCACCTACCTACTTAAAATGCGGCCTACAGACATTCTTTCCGATAGGTGTCACTTAATTTATTGTCTATTTTTAACTGCGCTTTATTGAATCTGAGATCTGTGGAGTCATTACCCTTTCGATGATTCATGGGCCTAATAATTTCTACATATCATTGATCCGAAAATTGCTGAGTTATTCAGCACACTCCCGTCCCAGGTACAAAAGAGGTTCTTCATAGTGTCTAGTAAGCCGTTATATGCATGCATTTAAGGCGTTTGGTTTTCAAGATTCGATGTTCGTCTGTTGCATTTCACTGCTAGGCTATCTTTTCCGGCAAAGTATATCTAAATATATGGAATAAGTGTTGTAGGCGCATTTATGTATCTAGAGTTAAAGGAAAGCACTCCGCGAGTAGTTTTTAAAAGTTATGTGATGAAATAACACGAAATCGTTTAAATTCACAGCTGACTGGTGATTAAATAGGCAAATATTCGGGGGAGACAAGTTGTAAAACACATTGTGCTAAGCAGTAAGGACAGTAGATTGTGCAAGAATCCGTGGGCAACACACGTTTTAGGGATTTCAGGATAGTTACACTAAGTGAGACATGTTTCAACGACTTACAACCCGTAGACTTAAGTCGTGGCGTCCATCTGTAAATACCCGCGCTATCGAGTAGTAGCACGTTCAGTCCTCAGTAATAAGGATAGTAGGTTGATGAACCTGTGTTAATCCTGACACATTGCTTTCCAGTGAAGGTCCAGCTTTTTCTTGAAAGTATTCACTGATGGGGCTGATACCACTTGTTCGGGTAAGGCGTTCCAATCATTGACTACTCGATGAGAAAAACGGGATCCCTCTTTAAGTTTATGAACCTTCTTGCTATGACCTCGGAGATTAATAGTGCTGGAGGGAGCAAAAAGATAAGACATAATAACACCCAAATCATAATTAAAGATACGAAATGCCAGTATAAGGTCACCTCGTGTCCTACGATACGACAAGGGGAAAAGATTTAGGCGTTTTAAACGCTCATCGTAAGGGATTCTAGAAAGACCCTTCACTAATTTCGTTCCCACAGGCTGGACGCGCTCAAGGGAGTTAGTATCCTTTACCAGACACGGGCTAGCTGCTTGGATACAGTACTCTAAATGTGGTATAACATATATGGGATATAAAATTCTAAACATTTCCTCGCCAAAAGATTTGAACGCTCGGCGAAGTGACCATAACGCACGAAAACCTTTGACAGCGGCTGCTTTGCAATGCTTAGTTGTTTTTAAATCATGACTTAATATTACTCCTAAGTCTTTATGCTCTTGAACGCATGGAAGAGGTTTACCCTCAATAGTGTAACGGTAACTATTACCGTGACCGATGTGCATTAGTACACTCTTCCTAGCATTGATTTCTAAGCCCCACTCTTGAGCCCATCTAACTAAATCGTCTGAGTCAGCTTGAAGATCCACATGATCAGCCGCACTTTTTATTGTTCTCCAGATTTTTACATCATCCGCAAACAATAATGTCGACGACCTAAGTAACAGCGGTAAATCATTAACGTAGAGAAGGAAGAGCCTAAGATGGTACCTTGGGGTACACTACTTTTGACCGGCTTCCAATCGGATAGCGTTCCGTTGACTCTAACTCTCTGTCTGCGGTCACATAAGAAATTTCCTATCCCCTCATGTACAGTACCTATTATTCCGAAGCTCCTGAGCTTCTGCATAAGACCTACGTGTGAAACCTTTTCAAACGCTTTGCTGAAATCTATGAATATCACGTCGACAGACAGATCGTTATCTAGGGCTGCTGTCCAATCCTCCCTCGCAATAAGCAAGTTAGTCAAGAATGAACGCTTGTTACGAAATCCGTGTTGCTCAGGAGCTAACAGATTGTGTAAATCTATGTGGCTTAGCAACCTAACCCGAATTATCTTTTCGAGTAACTTAACGACTATGCTAGTTAGACTGACAGGCCGGTAGTTAGATGCTATCTGTCGCTGACCGTCCTTAAATATAGGACTAACTATAGCGTCCTTCCAATCTCTAGGGAGTTGAGTGAGTGATAGGGACATGTTGAAGAGTGTCGCAAGCTGTTTTGAAATAATGTCCGCAAGAGATGACAGCAACCGTGGATGTAACCCGTCAGGGCCCGGTATCTTACCAGGTTTGAGGTTCGTTATCAACGGAAGGACAGTTTCCTCAGTCACCTGTACAGATTCAATGGTTGGTATCTCGGTGTGAGTGGGACAAGTATTTGTTACAATAAACGTAGAGAAGACTTCGTTAAAGTAGTCTGAAAAAGTCTCAGCTTTTGCTCGATCTGATTCAGCTAGTAATTCTGAATTGGCGTGTAACAGTAACGGGGAAATACTATCACTACGTTTCATTTGCCGTTTAACATACGAAAACAATCGTTTCGGACAAGTACGGCTATCATATACTAACTGTCGTTCGTAAGTGGTACGAGATTTGTCTATGGTTTTCTTACAGATATTACGGTATTTTTGGTACTCACGCTTAAATGGTGCATGACCTGTCAACAAGAATAAGTCCCAGAAATGTTTTCTACGCTTTAACAGCTTCCGGGTTTCCTTATTAATCCATGGAGGGCAATGTGATAGCTTACGTGCTGACCATGGGATAAACGGCGACGTTACGGACTCGAATGTAGCCTTAAACTTATTCCATTCATCTTCGATCAATCCATCCGCGTCGACCGACCAATCAGTCGAGATAGCACAGTTTCTGATTTCCGGAATATTGACTCGCCAGATATTGGGACGGGGTGGAGCAGATACGAATTGTATACCATGTGTCCTAAACTTAAAGTGAATTACAACGTGATCACTGTTCACTAGTGGAGGAAGGTGCTGGATATCAAGGACGTCCTCAGAGTGGTGGGTGAGGGCGAGATCCAGCAGTGACGGAACATGTTGCAAATCAATATGTGTCAGTTTTGTGATACATTGTACAAGTGCACACTGAATAACGGTAGATAAAAGGTCGCTATCGAAGCCACTAACTGGAGCTGTAAGCTCTATACAGTTGATATGCGGTGCGTTGAAGTCCCCAATGATGAGACAACATTCTGCCATACTCCAAGAACAGATGTGTCTTAGGATAAAGTCGTCAGCAAGACAAGACGGACTACGGTATATTACCCCTATAGTCACTAACCCATTTCTAGATTTAATCTTACAACATGCAACCTCACATGTGCCACTGATTTGAGCCTCTGATATGGTTGATTGTATACGAAAGTGATCCCTAACGTATAATATTACACCTCCCCCTTTGCGACTAGAAACTCTATCACTTCTGATACAGATATAACCAGCAATGAAAGGAGGACAGTCTATATCAATGGTGAACCAAGTTTCTGTAACAACGATTATATCGGGACATAATTCTTGCACCATCAGACTTAGCTCGGACGTTTTATTTCTAAGACTACGAGCGTTCGTGTAGCACACACTTAAGGTGTTTTGGCAATCAATCGTTCTACCCATACAGGCTTTGGAAGCATTGGCTCCCAAGGCCTGACTACCCGAAAACCCTTAATGGTAAGGTTATTTTCGCCATTTAATTTGCGAGTCCTCAACTCCGTAAAAGCATTCTTCCACTTGATTCGATCCTCAAGTGGCCAATCTGGTCGAATACGGATATTTGAGGCACGAGTTTTTAGTGCGCTTTTCAATAATATGTCTCTTTCATCAAAACTCCCGAGAACCAGATTCAGGATTCTTCTTGGTTGGGTCTCGCCTCCAACCCATTTACCAAGTCGTATTACTTTTGTAATATGTACTCCTGAAACCTCTTCAGGTAGTACATTCCTTACCACAGACTCCACTAACTGCAGGTCATATGCATGTCTTCTAGCAGGGTCGTTGTCTTTCGACTCCTCTAGATTCCAAATAATTAAACTAGGGAGGGGTTTGGCTTCTTTTGAAACTGTGTTCACAGCTTTCGACCGTGACGTTAGATCCTGTATTTTAACTGCTGGTAACTTACGATTAGTTTTTATTTTAACAGTGTCCTGTGATTCAAACGAATGACTCACAACAATGTCAGACGAAGCTTTACTATGGGACTTTGGCGGATTGGCCTGAGAGTCCACCAAGGACTTACCAAGTAAACAGTCATTAGTTTTAGCTATCTTTCCTACTCTTCTGCGTTGTCGCGTCATCCATTTTCCATCAGTCGAAACGTCTACATTAGAACAACTCGGGACAGTAATTGTTTTATCTGGGTCACCGGTTGCTGCTGTAGCAATATGGCCACCAACGTCTAATGACGTGTCACTCACTGAACGTTTCGGGGGAGAACGTTTAACTGCCGGTTGCACAGGTAGATGTCTGGCTTGCGCCGTGATAGCACTTACGACACTAACGCAATCTTCGCCATCAGTACCAATGTTATCAGTACAGCCTTCATCAACCTTCTTATTAGCCAACACCAGGAGACTAATTGCTTCCTGGATAAGCAATGTTTTGCTTGAGCAACAAAACTACGAAGCCAATGAGAGTTGGGCTTTAGACACCTTTTATATGCAGTGGGGCTTAGTCGGGTGCACATCTTATGGAACCACTTATTACACTCATCACATTGCATCCCTTCATCCACGGGAAATAAGCAGTATGGTTGTCCACATCTATGAGTAGACTTAGCCATCGTGAAAATCAACTAGAACGGTGATAAAAAACAGGATATGTAAAGGGATTTTCAAACCTTAACTAAAAAACCAAGTAAAAGTCGACCAAGTATGCTTCGATGCAATAAATACACAGAAGCAAAATCGAAAAACTCAATACAATATCACTTTAACTGGGGTAAATGCAATTAAAGTGTAAACAGTAGTTTTGATGCGTAGTTTACGATCAAAACAGTTAATTAACTCAACGAGAAAGAATACCACTGTCCTTTTAAATAGTGATTAAAATACTTAAGTAGGAAATTGAAGTTTCCATTCACCAAGCTTCCTTGTCTAATGGCGATAGATTCCAAATATCTTAAGGTAGGGACATAGAATGTATAAGTACTTACCTTTATGCATGGTTCCGAATCATTTAAAGTAAATAATATTGCTTATTGAAAAACTCCTGTGGTGTTGCTTTGAGCTCACTACTCGCTAACGAACTTCAGTACTTTGTTGTTTACAACAAATATTTATGCCTTTAGAACTGCAAGTCCTCATTAATAATTGTGAAGTTGTCACAGGTACACGGAGTTTGACAGTGCCTTTACACGTAACAACTTTGTAATCAAAAAATGCCAACTCAGTCAAATTAGAAGTCAGAAATGAATAGGTCTGAGGATACATGTAGAAATCTATCGATACGTCGAGAACTGTTTAATCTAAGCTGGTTAGTATTCGCAAGGGGTGCGTAGCACACATGAACTCAATAGGGGTCCTACCAAATCTAGATTAATATAGTTGAAACGAGCGTCTAGAGTTGTGAAATAGCACAAGGGAATTTGTTGTGTATGAACACTTTGGATTTCTGGCATCTTACATAAGAACGTGTCTACTCCCTCACATCTTTATTCATACCAGACCCAAAAAGTCGTTTTCTATGAGCTGGACTGTTGCTCGAACACATGGTTTAGAAAGTTTATGCAATGTATTGAAGACGTTGTAGTGGTTTGTACCCAATATAATCCCTTAGCTTCA